CTAAGGCCACAGTGGCCTTGATGCCCCGCCCGTTTTCTCCTCTGCCTCTTTTCTGTCAACACGGCTTTGACACCAACGTCTACTGAGAAAAATAATGTGATGACAGTCTGGATTCTTATTCGGCAACATCAAATGAGACGATGTGTACATCACCAGTGGTTGGTTTAATTCAAGCCTGGCATGAACCGCTCGGACGGGCTGTAACGACAGTTTGACACCAGTCTATCACCTGCCAACCAGGAGACTTCATCAAACGCCCGGGCAGGGATCGGTACCGAGACCCAGTAGGCCTATTAGCCTAAACAACCCAAGGCAAGTTTAATCAAGACCGTAATAATAGTAAGCTCCGCCATTTTCGGCGTTACTTTTTAAAGTTTCGGTTTCATCATCATTCTGCAGCCTCTCTCCTGCTCTCTGCATGTCACCCCTCATAGCGCGTGCACACACACACAGACACACAAACTCAACAGCAGAGAGGCCACAGTGCAGATGAAGGGAATATAACTTAAAGATTACTACTCTAGTTAACTACGCTTGTTACTGTGAGTAAGTGCAATAAAGAGAGATGCTGGTAGAGAGATAGTGTGTGTTATTAGATGCTGTTAATGTCACTTATTATGCTTCTGTGCATTGATAGCTCTTTTTTTAGTCTGTTTCTGCATCATGTTGAGGCGGGCCATGCCTGTACATATATATAAATATATATATGTATGCAAAAAAAAAAGTAGATCAGTTGCTCGCTGCTAAAAAATGTGGCCCATCGACATGATCTGGTTTTGAAATGTGGCCCAGTTGAAATAGTAATTGAATAGCCCTGCTGTAGTTTGTTTGTTTGTTTGTTTGTTTGTTTGTTAGCTATCTAACAACACATCAAAAATAACTGTAAGCCAGTCTTGTTCAGTGAATCAGTTTATCATGTACACTCAAAAAATATTTAGGCCTAATATTCAAGATAGTTTGCTTATAAATACATGAATCTGGTTGTTCTATATTTAAAACACATTGGGTTTATTAGTGCTAGTAAATAAATCACATTATTACTTATTATACTCATTATTATTACTTGAGCTTGTTTTATTTATTCATTTCACAGATAGTTATACATCCTTAGTCCTTAAATTCATTATGGACTTAAAATCATTGTTTAATTTCATGGCCTTGCTGCCCTGGCTTTTGGCCTTTGTGCCCTCAAAAAATTGACAACATGAAAGGCCAAGTGGCCTTAACCCTAAAATGACGAAATTCCAGGCCTGTGTGGCAGTGTATTTATCTGTAGAGACTCTGCTCTCTCAAAGCTATGGGAATTTTATATTTCCTCGTGCAGGCTGTTGAGAGCAGTGAGCAGAGATACTGCTCTGTTATCTGGGGTCCAACCTGCGACAGCATTGACAAAGTAACCGACAGCTGCTGGATTCCTGAGCTGCATGTGGGCGACTGGTTTCTCATCGACAACATGGGCGCTTACTCTGTTACTTTATCCAGTGACTTCAATGGCTTTGAAAAAGCACACATTTACCCTGTAATGACAGCTGAGACATGGCACGCCTTACATAGGCCAGACAAAAGTTATGCACTAAAATCTGTATACAAGTCATGTATTTAGGCAGGCTGTGATCATGTGACCAATGTGCTGATGGGAGAAAGGAGTAAGTAGTCCATGTAGGGTGTCAGGTTTGGCTGGCAGATGGGTCACAAAACAAAGTTTTCCCCGTGTTCAGAACCGTGTCATTCCAACTACATGAACCTTAAGTTACTTCAATGTACATCTTTTCCTAAACCTGACCTACATAACTTTATGTTAAATACCTAATGTCATTCTAGGACACAAATTCGTAAGATATCATACAAACTGAGGACACAATATGAGGACACATACTTTAATGACAATAGAAAGGCAAAATATGGGGGACACCTGACATGGGGAACAAGCAACTGTGAGGTTTTACAAAGGATTGTGGGTAGCTGCAAGCAGCAGTAATGTCTGCTCTGTATTGTGAATTTGAGTTGATTTTTATTCAAAGTTCAGCCATGCATTAGATGATCTGTCTTTGCTTTGCTCAAACATGTCAATTTAACATCACCCAACCTATTTATTGTATTGTTCAATGCCCCATGGAGCAAAAGATGGAAGATGTCATGGTCCTCAAGAAGTACCACAGTCTCAGTAATAGCTTAGCTAATAAGAATATTCTGTTATCAAAGCAGCATCATTAGTGTTAAGCAATGATGTTTATTATCATCACTTTTTACAAGTAGATCAGAGAATTGAAGTATGATTGAAAGGGTCATTATAACTTGGACATTATTTATAAGATAGGCCTAAATTAACAGCTTGTCCAACCAGTTAGCTTGTAAATGTCAGACCTTAATTCATCAGGAGTTAATTGAATAATAAATATGAATAAAGTTTGAGGTGGTTTAATGGCATAACTATCATAGCTGCAAGAAGTTCTTGAGTTGTGTTCCTGAAATCTACAGACTAAAAAACAATAATAATAAACTTTATTTGTATAGCACTTTTCAACACACAGTTACAACGTGCTTTACACGAAGAGGACAGAAGCACAGAATCTCAGGCTGAAAACGGTTTACAGCAGAAAACTGGTTTAAACAGAGGTTCACAGACATACCTATAAGATATTTTCTTTATAATTAATTGTCTTGTTACATTTATTTTGAAAATGTATGATATTTTGCTTTTGAATATTAAATGTAGTCATACATCATCATCTTTATCCTCAATTAATGGTTTTCTGGAGATGTATTGTAAATGATATTCTGACTGTGATGAATTGTTACAAAGTAAAATGTCTGTGTTTGTAAAAATAAAATGTATCTGCTGCATGTATGTGTGTGCTGTCTTTACCTCAACCAAGAAAGCTTGTTCAGCGTCTGATTCCTACATACAAGGCATTGTTTCATGTTAGACGTACCAGGCTTTCAAATTACTGCAATCTAAACACATCTGTGGCAATAATTAAGTATAAAGCGAGGAGTAAGGGATGGAGGGTCAAACAAATACAGGAGTTGGGTATAACGCGTTACAAAGTAACGAGTAACCTAACACGTTAGTTTGCTGATTGAGTAATACTTGAATACATTTTCAAACAAGACAAAAGTTACTTCTGTTACTTTTAGAACACTGGTCCTTAAGCTCCTTAAGCTCCGAAACAGCAACAGCAACAAGAATGGAGTGTGGACTGGTGGCTGGAGAGGTGCCAGTTCACCTCCTGGGCACTGCCGAGGTGCCCCTGAGCAAGGCACCGAACCCTCCAACCACTCGGAGCGCCTGACCAAAGGGCAGCCCCCTCACTCTGACATCTCTCCACTTTGTGCATGTATAGGTCCTGTTTGTGCATGTGTGTGTCTTTCAGACCTGTGTGTAACTGACAAGCAAGAGTGAAAACGTTGAATTTCCCCTCAGGGGGATTAATAAAGTAAATAAACTTAAATAGTCCATCAGAAATAGATCCGGCGCGTGTTTTTAGCGGAGCGGAGCGCCGAGCCGCTTCTAGGATGCGTCTGGTGGACCTTACAGCTTACTTGAATGGCCGCTATTAGCACCTCGGCCGGATCGCGCACGCCATGGATCCAGTGGGTTGCCATAAATGGGCCTGTCCCAGAGGCATTCAACTACCAGAGGGCTTTTGAAATCTTCTTTTCGAAGCTGCGTAAAATGAAATGCTCTGATTCAGGGTGCCATACTTGCAAATCGTGAGGGAGGGAGGAAAGCAGTAATTTGTGTCTGTTTGTATGTAATTAATTTAAGTCTTACCTTTTGTTTTCTTTTTGTATTGCGTATTTTGTATTGTTTTGCGTATCTGTAACTGTGTGTTTGTGAGTGAGAGAGTTTTAAAATAATATTTTGTCTGCACATGATTTAAAATAATAAGACTTAGACTTAGATATTTGACCCTACTTGGTTCAGACTGGCCCTAGCTTGCCCCCCCCCCCCCCCCCCCAATTGAAACTGACCTGAGTTGTGATGTAAACACTCACCATAAACAACAAGAAAAATTACTGGTTTACTGGTACTTGTTCATGGTACAGGACACAGTGAAGGATTAGAGCTGCAATTCCTCACTCTGCCACAGGAGGGCGGTCTTCACCAGCACAAGATTTACACTTCACATCAGTTTATTAGTCTGCATGGTGGTGTAGTGGTTGGCACTGTTGCCTCACAGTGAAAGGGCTCCTGGTTTGATCCTAGGAGAGACAGAGTTTACATGTTCTCCCCATGTCAGCGTGGGTTTTCTCTTGGTACTCTGGTTTCCTCACACAGTCCAAAGACATCCAGGCTAGGTTAATTGGTGACTCTAAATCGCCAGGTGTGACTCTGAGCATCTCTTAAGTGTTAGCCCTGCAAATTCCCCAATTCTCAATTCGACTGAGCATCTGTGGGACGTGCCAATACCCCAGATGTACCGCCTATCCACAGTGGGGCCTCTATGGATTGGACATGGCTCTGACATGTCAAGGTATGGACACAGGAAGTCTGGGGATGCCCCATGGTGTCTGGCACCAGGGTCTTCACAGCAGATCCTTTGAATCTTGTGGGTTGCGAAATGACGTATCAGCATGTCCCAGGGATGCTCTATTGGATTTGGATCTGGGGAATTTGGAGGCCAGATCAAGGCCTTAACCTCTTTGTCATGTTCCTTTGGCCATTCCTGAGCAGTTTTTGCAGTGCGGCATGACACATTGTCCTGCTGGGGGGGCTACTGCCATTGGGGAGTGATGTTGCCATTAGGGGATTTGCTTGGTCCGCAGTGGTGTTTGGGTGTGTGGTGTCAAGTGGCATCCACATGAATGCTAGGACCCCAAGTTTCCCAGCAGAACATTGCATTGTAACAAGATGATGAATGTTATTTATTTCACCTGTCAGTGGTTCTAATGTTTTGGCTGATTGGTATATGTGTTCAACAAAATAAGGGCTGCAGAAAGTGATAACGTGCTGATGGAAAAAGTTTTTGGTTGTAGGCATTGTCAACTTTAAATGTCTATATCTAAAAAGGAGATTGGAAAAGAGCCAAATAAATGATCATAGATGTGCTGTTTGGAACTTTGTGGTTAATAAGTGGAAGATAAAAAGTCTTTGACAGGGGTCAGAGGGGGTGTAAAATTTGTAATGACCTGTGAGATGAGTTTCACCTTTTAGTTGAACATTAGAGTGTAAAGGCTCCGACCTATTTTTCCACATTGAACGGTTATGGGCAGCCGTAGTCCTGTATTTGTTTGACCCATCCTCCATCCCTTACTCTTCGCTTTATACTTCATCATTGCCACAGATGTGTTTAGATTGCAGTTAACACGAAATAATGCCTAGTATGTAGGAATCAGACGCTGAACAAGCTTTCTTGGTGGAGGTAAAGACAGCACACACACACATGCAGCAGATTTTATTTTTATAAAAACAGATAATTTTGTTTACTTATTTTGTACTTGAGGATAAAGATGATGATGTATCACTACATTTAATATTCAAAATCACAATATCTTAGATTTTCAAAATAAATGTTACAATAAAATATGTCTATGCACCTCTGTTTAAACCAGTTTTCTGCTGTAAACCGTTTTCAGCCTGAGATTCTGTGCTTCTGTCCTCTTCATGTAAAGCACTTTGTAACTGTGTTTTGAAAAGTGCTATACAAATAAAGTTTATTATTTTTATTGTTATTATTTTATTTTATTTTTTTTTTTTTATCGCCATTAAACCACCTCAAACTTTACTCATTTTCATTATTCAGTCAACTCGTGATGAATTCATGTCTGACATTTACAAGCTAATTGGTTGGACAAGCTGTTAATTTAGGCCAGTCTAATAAATAATGTCCAAGTTGCTCCATGGAGGCATTTAATAATACAATAAATAGGTTGGGTGATGTTAAATTGACAGATCATCTAACACATGCTTGGACTTTGAATAAAACACTGACCAGTTATTTTTAGTGGTGAAGTTACAATTGTTTAATCGACAAATGCTATCAGCTCAAATTCACAATACAGACATTACTGCTGCTTGCAGCTACCCACAATCCTTTGTAAAACCTCAAAGTTGCTTGATCCCTAGGTCAGGTGTCCCCCATATTTTTGCCTTTTTATTGTCATTAAAGTATGTGTCCTCATACAACAGTTTGTATGATATCTTATGAATTTGTGTCCTAGAATGACATTACTTAACGTAAAGTTGACACAGGGAGAACATGCAAACTCCGCTCCTCCGTCCTGCCTGTGTTCAAACCAGGAACCACTACACCACCGTGCCGCCCTAATTTTGGTGCATCACTTCATTACTGGTATACATATGACTGGGGCATTGGTCACAGCCTGAAGTAGTAGTACAGGAAACAACACAAACCTGGCAAATTTGTACAGCTCAAACCTTTACATAACCCTATGAGGACTTAAAATGACAAGATTGTATAATAACGTTAAAATATTGGTAGTGACATTTTTGCAGCACCCTGACCCTGATTACCCAAATCTATGCCTATGCTATATCTGCTGTGTGACTACATTATAACAAAAATGTCATTTTAAATTGTAAGAAAAGTAGGCCTATACTACCATGGCTTACAGGTGCACTGAAATTAATTAATATGACAAAATATTTACAATATGTCTGTCAATAGAAACCAACCAATCGATCACACATGTTAAATGTCTATGTTTGCTCACATCCATATTGAGCCACTGTCCAGTAAAAGTGTTACCAGATCATTAATGGATGTTACAGGTGTGAGAAAGGTTTAATGCTGGGTTCAGACCACACAACATCAGCCCGATTATAGCCCGATTATAGCCCGACGCAGTGACGTACGGTGTCAGTTTGGATTGTTAATGAAAATAAGTGTCATACATGATAATCCATTGGTTCATCTTGTGTAGTGTGTCATAGTACACAACAAGCGACATCATGCCTGGGATGCCTCGTGACATTCCAACTGAAAGTCTTGCATGTTTGATTTTCTGTTTGTCTTCCATTACTTCTCCCTCACAGCTGTCACTTTGACCAATCAAAACACAGTGATCTGCATATTGTAACAACACCCACTTATTGACATTTCCTCGCGGGACGTTACACAGAGTCAAATGGGGAAAAAAATGATGACTTGAAACAGCAGAGGCACATTAGTACTACCATTAGCATCAAGCTGGCAAAAAATGTTATTTCTTCATAATGGAATTTGCAGAGGGTCAGCTGGGATAGGCTCTAGCCCCCCGCAACCCTCAAAGAGGATGAAGCGGTTAGAAGAAGAATTTGCAGAGGGTATCAGTTTTCTGTGAACCCCGCTACATTAGAAATGGGCCTTTATTTCCAGACAGAGGCCTTTATTTCTCATTCCCTCTGTTTTTCAATTTTTACTTTTAATCCACTCCCGTTGGCCCTGTTTAAGTTAATGCATCGCACTGTCATTTCAAACTTAGCACTTCCTGTATCCCTTTAAAATAGAAAGCTCCTTATAATTTCGGTTGAGAAAATACCTTCATTTTCTAAAAAGGCTTTTATTGTGAAACGTTTGCAGGAACTTGTTGTGAAAGATTCTGTGACTTGTGTCGTTTGCATACAGTACTTCAAATGTTAATGTGATGCTCCTGCCATCTGGTGGCACTTTTTAGGTTATTATAATAAAATTTTAACTGGCACATGAATAGGCATAGTGACTTAAATAATAATCTTAATGGTAATAAAAATAGGACAGGAATAATCCAATGATATCACACGCATTGTGAATGATGACCAGGGATGACTGGTCATGGACCAACGTATAGTCTGTCATGTCTGTCCGCCAAGTCATGGCACAATTTTATGACTCCACAATTGCCTCATCTGACATACTGACTGCCTGCACAGACAAAAATGCGAGGTCTGAACCTGGCATAAGGCGTGCCATGTCTCAGCTGTCATTACAGGGTAAATGTGTGCTTTTTCAAAGCCATTGAAGTCACTGGATAAAGTAACAGAGTAAGCGCCCATGTTGTCGATGAGAAGCCAGTCGCCCACATGCAGCTCAGGAATCCAGCAGCTGTCAGTTACTTTGTCAGTGCTGTCGCAGGTTGGACCCCAGATAACAGACCGGTGTCTTTGCTCGCTCCTCTCAACAGCCTGCAGAAGCAAATATGAAATCCACATAACACTGGTTATCATGTATTTTCGCAGTTTATCCTTTTCAATCCCATGTCTTCACATGACATCTTGTTTTACAGTTTCCTCAAGCCAGATGGTAAGTGATAGCCTGTTAAGCATCTTATTTTAAAGGTTCTGCATGGGACATTTAGAGCATTAATATAGCAGTAAACTACTATTTCCTATTTGGAATGATAACAAGTAATCGACAGTTAATTGGTTTAGAATTTGATCGAACATGTAAAATTTAATTGATCAAATAAAGAGCTGAGATATAATTAACGTGTGATCTCCCTTTACATCAGCAGAATGGTGCATTTTGAAAGCATGTTTCAATGACTAGCATTAGCAAACAGGGTGTAGTATGAGTGTTTAATGAGAAGGCTGCCATCTTGGGGTTTGGAAGAAAAGCGAGATGGCAATATTGTAAAATAAAGCCAGGAAAGCAAAGCATTATTCAGTTATATTCAGTGTGTTTCATATATCTAAATATATCACAATTCATATATCACAATCAACTGATTGATTGGTCTTTAATATTAGCAATGACTGTTTAAGCTTACAATGAGCATCTGTATTTGCTATGACAAATATAGTGAAGCAATAGCATCCTGAGCAAAAAATGTAGTCATGCTACCTCTGTGTGTGCTGTAATCCAAGCTTCTCTGTGTTTTATTGTAGTAAGTTGGTCCAGTGTATGTGCGTGTCCTACTGGCTTATTCATCGCCACTTATTTGCAATGAGCTCATATGGTCGTTACCACTGGCATTGGGACAGTGTTAACGTGGAAATGTAGCACCCACCCTCCAGTTCCCCCCTTGTGAACACTGTTAGCTTTGTCACCACTGTTGCCATCGTTTATTGCTGTTTCTGGAGCTAGCACTGTTAGCTGCTAGCTGCCAGCTGAGGCACCTCCATGTTGAGAACTTTGACCAGACAACTCATGCACTCTGAATTTTGCAGAGGGCCCCTTTAGACAAACACTTCTCAGTTACTGTATTCATGCACACCTGATATCGGGTTGTTTCAGGTTGTAGTCCAAGCAGTAACATCCAACAATTTTACACCACAAGTTTTATGTCCAAGGCCAACGTTAAGTACCAAAGCAGGAAATAGTGTCTTTAGGTGTACAGTAAGCTTGTGGAGGTCACAGTGTGAATGCTTTCTGTCACCAACCTAAAGTTACAATATGCTGGAAAATCTGTTATTGTTAATGAACATGAGATTCAAACTTAACGCCAGTGCTCATAGGGACCAATTTAGGGTTCAGTGTCTCGCTCAAGGACCCATCAACATGTAGACTGAACCTTATGATTAGTGGACAACTGCTCTACCTCCTGAGCAACAGCCTCTCTCCACACAAGTATGTTAGTTGCCTAACCCTAACCACATTTTAAACATAGATTTTTTTGTAATAACCCCCATCTTAAACCTTAACCATTCAGTAGTTACCATGCTCAGGAAAAGCTATCAATTTTAATTGCTGACATTGAACATAAAAAACTTTGTTACGGAATGCAATCTGGTGTTTTGCAGAGTTGTCCAATATTGATGTCCTTATCTGGAGATAGGAATGATATTTACCCTTTGAAGGTATGGTTCCACCTTGGTGTGAGCAGCATCATTGATAAGGCAATTCAGGGAGCCATACACCCCATCATTAATGTAGTACATCATCATTCGGTCAGGCCTGTTTTCCTCAGCGTCGAGGTAAAAAAAAACATGCAAAAGAAATTAATGTCACTAAAATGGAAACTATACAGTATTTTTGCAAAGATGTTAAAAATAATGATAAAATTATGATGGAAATTATCCTTTTTATCTTTGGTCCCTCTAGCCCTCCACCACATACATCCATGGGGCTCTGCACACAATGAGGAACTACAACCCTGCTATTCAGGACTGTGCTCACCCAAAGGCTGAGCATGATTATCTACTGAAGGTAGTGGTGCATTGCCATGTAGTTGTGCCATCACAAACATCTAATAGTTATCACCCACACAGTATTTAAAATCAAGATGCATATTAATACATACACACGCTGTGTATACATACACAGCCATGTGTTAATACTGGATGCTATATTACCGCTATGTTGATCCGTATCATCTAAGATTACTCTTTTGGCAATGACATTGGCTGCCAGTGTGAAGGCTGATTCCACATAGTATCGGCCTGGTTCTGCAATAATCTGCACCCCACTGTCAGGTGGGAAGAATTCATCCAATGCTCCATTAATGACTTCGGGAAACTAGGAGGGAGAAAAACAATAACAACAGTATCACTGACATTACGGGCAAAAAAGAAAGGATTCTGCATGTGTTTCTATGAAATATGAGCCATGTAATTAGGAAGTCTGAATGAAAACCAAGTGACATAGTTTGATGAAATATCTCCAACACTGCATAAAATGTTGTCATGCTTGCTTGAGGTAGAAAAACCTTGATAACAAAGATATCAAAGAAGCACTAAAGATTTGATGGACAAAGGTTTCCTAGAAGAGCCCTTGAGGGAAACCAGGACACTTGATTAGAAAATAGTATAAGTAATTATTTGTGTCATAAGAATGATGAAGTGCTGCACAACAATGAACAAGCAGTGTTCATACTATCTTTTGTTTTACCTCTTCAAATTTTACTTGAAGGTCATCTCTCCCAGGGAACCCTCCACCAATATCCAACAGAGTCATCTGGAAGCCCAACAAATTCTGAAAAACATCAGCTCTACTTTTTAATAAGGCACTATTTATTAAGGGTTTATAGGATTGAAACATATACTCATACAACAGGTTGATATATTTTATGAAAATGCACATACAATGGTTTATATGATATCTAACAAATTAGTGCCTACTGAAAGATAGCATCACATTATGTACTTAACATGAAGTTACGTAAAGTTAAGTGGGTTAGGTTAAAGAAACCTGGTGGCAACATACTTTATTTAACTCAAAGTTCACTTGATTAACACAGGACATGAACACTGGTCTCCAGGGGCAAAGTCCTGTGTTTGTTTGACCCATCCACCACTCCAACCTGCCTCTTTACACAGATATTTTCTCTTCATACCACTTTCTTCTTTACTCCCATCAGCGCATGGCTCACAAGATGGCAGTCTTCCCAATTACATGGGCAATATACAAATTCTGGTACATTACTTTTTGTAGGTTTACTTATGAACAGTGCATGAGAACAGCCTGAAGTTTGGACTTCTGGTCTGAGTGGTGTAGAAAAGTGTTTATAACAAGCTCCCTATGGGACCCATATATTTTAAAAATTTAGTAAGTCTGTGGAGTTATACAGTCTGGCTGTAAGTGATGCAAGGACAAAAATCTGAAGAAAATGCTCCACAACCTAGGACAGAACAACAATGTAGCCAATGCTGATACTAAAGCTGTAATGGGCCATGTGGAGGAACATCGCGAATAGAGGAACAGGTTTTGGGCTAAATTAGGAAGCATGCTGGAACATATCAATTTCAGGGTTTCCTGAAACCATGGAATTGGAAGCTGCTGTTAGCCATCGTTCCGATTTCATTATTGACCTCGGAGAAAGAGTTGAGAACTATGAGAAGAGATTTGCCAATATCAAAAGAACAATGCAAAGACTGGGAGGCAAGATCATTCTGATCATGCATTCCCGACATATTTGCATCATGGGAGTGATGGAGGTTTTTGAAAATGACAGACAGACATTTCATGTTGTGGCTAACCTGTAGGAAATGTTAATCCTCAGGAAGACTACGCTCCTAGACTTTGCACACTGCACTCTATTTGCTGCACACCACCGGATGAACACATAGCTAGAGGCCTTTGCAGCAGAGTGAAGTCATTACATTTCCAAAAAGCCATACAAAGAGAACCAGGGAGAACTATGACTGGAGACAGGATTCATATTTCCCCATGACTAAACCCAGACCATAACTAAACAGTGGGCTTCCTCCAACGTAGCAACAGGCCTACACAGGAGCTGCAGGGAAGTTTGCCAGGGCCAAACTCCACAATGGAAAGAGGTTCTCAACTGCACTGGAGGCTAACAACTAACAGTGCTAACTCTATAAAAAGTGCTAAACAACAGCAATAGTGCCGGGGGTGGGCGCTATGGCTCCACAAGGCCAAAGACATCACTAGCACTCTTGCTCCACACTCACATAAATACACACATTTGTACAAGTACAAAAGTATGAGCACAGTCTGATCTGAAGGGCCCCTGTGCTGAAGCAGTGCCTTCCTTTGTCTTGATAATGAAGGAAGGTAAGTTATACAGTTTTGCTTTGCTCACACAGATTTAGTCTGGCTATCACTGCTTTGTTGAGATAATTTACATCACAATTGCAAATCATCACAACAAGCCTGATCAACGGTTAGCCTTTATCTCTAAACATGTAAATGTGCTGTGGTTTTGTGATGTTCTATTGCTATGATGATGACTTACCGCTATGTCAAAGACACGTCGGGCATCTGCTATGGCCTGCTTGAACGCTAAACTTCCAGTGCACCCGCTGCCTACATGAAAGCTGACCCCAATGACCTCTAAGCCCAGCTCTCTAGCACGTTCCAGCAGCTTACCAACCGACACAAGTCTGGCTCCAAACTTTGAGCTAAGTCTTATCAGTGATTTAGAGTCATCCACTGCAATGCGGAGCACAAGTCTGGAAAGGGATACAAAAGAATTAATCAATACTTTACATGACTTTACACTTCTCATAGAAGCAGAAATATTAGCAGTTGTTCACTTACTTGGCTTTGGCGTGACACAGAGAAATTTTTAGGAGTTCATCCTCACTATCAAAAGTCATCATATCTACTCCATGAGCACAGGCATATTTGATGTGCGACAGTGGTTTGGTTGTGTGTGCGTAAATGATTTTGTCAGGTGTCACTCCGAGGGACAGGGCCAGCTGGATCTCACCCTGTGTTTGACCAAAACATGTTTCAAATGAGCAAACTGAGAGGGAAACAACCTTTGTCAGTAACAAAGATTGAGAAAAAAGCACAAAACACAAAGAACCACACAGACCTAGATTATCTTTGAAATACTTCATCAGTACCTTGCTAGCACAGTCGAAACCAGTGTCCAGAGCACTCATCATCTTCAGAACTGCTGCTGTGTTGTTGCACTTCACTGCATAGAAAGGCTTGACTCGAGGTAATTCAGTAAGCCATCTGAGGTGCTTCTTAAACACACTGTCTAGATTTGCCACACAAAATGGTTCTTCACTTTCCTGAATGAATTAATTAACAGTTAACGTTTTATTTTGAAAATGCACATCTCAAGAATCTCAACTATCACACAGTTACACAGAGATTTGTAATTAGTAAAACTTAAATGACATGATGTCTTTGATACTCACCACTGAACCAAGCTCTTTTATTTTATCTTCTATGAAATCACTGATGGTCTGTCCTTTGTGTAAAATGTCAATGTCACAATGTTCAGGAGCCAGAGCATGCATGACTGATCCATCTGTAGTTACTGCTGCTGCAAGGGATGGTAAGCAGTAAATTAATTAACAAAATGTACTTAAAGCATTAAAAGTTAAAGTACTCACTGTGCAGTGAAATTTTACTGTAAGTGTTTTACTATTATATGTGATTCTTTGGATTAATATTACAATTCTATTAATGTCTATGTTGCATTTGTTCTAATTTAAACTCTTATATACTGTTGAATGGTTTAATTTACAGCAGTACATCAAATTCCATTAGATAATCATAAATCTCTAAAGAGTCAACTTTTCATGGTGAAAATATGATGAAATATAAAACTAAAGTAAAGTACCTTGAATTTAAGAACAGTATTTGAGTAAATGTACACTTCACAACTAAGATTATGCCCTGCAAATAGTGGTCAAACATTAAAATGTACCCATTACATTCACATGTCTCACACATAATATCATATTAAACAGAGAAGTGTTTTTCATCTTACCACAGCCTGTATTCTCCTCCACATTTCGTAACCCAAAAATTCTCAGATGTTTTTGAATAAGTCTTATGGCAGCAGTTCTAAGAACCATATCTGAAAGTAAGTTTTAAAACAAGTACTGAGACTCAGGTCCAAAGTGAAATGAGACAGAATGACATACTGGTTTTGTTAGCTCACTACTGACTTTACTGCACTTACTGTTTTAAAACAAACAATGCCACACCTTAATTCCCTTGTCTCTTATTAACATGGAATCATATAGACAGTATAGATACTTATATTGTTGGAACTGTGGAAATACAGTCACGTGTCTATTATGTAGGTCATAGTTAAAGTTGATGTTGTACTCGACTATATTGTTTGAAGACGTATTACAGTGTAAACCAACAATCACCTGTGAAAGCAACTGTTCTTCACAGTGCCAGACGCCATTGACAGTAAGCAGTTGTCCACTCAAGTTGGTTACGACAAACTGTTGTAAGGTGGTGAGGATGATAAGCATGCAGATGAGTTTTCCAGAAATCATTCAGATGTGCAAACCAAACATTGTATCAGCTGTTCACGTGGCTGGTTTCAGATGATCTTGCAGGTGAAGACGCAAGATGTGGAGGTCCTGCGCTGGTGGGGTTATACATGGATTGCTGTTGTTGTAAAGCCAGTTGTATGTACTGCAAACTTCACAGAAACAATATTGGAGACAGTTCATAGGTGACAGCTCTGGGGGACACTTCTGCAGTCATCCCAAAGTACACCTGTGTTGTACTGATGCTGTTTAACATTTGTTCATAAAAACATCATGAAAATAAATACATAAATCTGACAAATGTTCCTTAAGTGTTTGAGTGCACGTGTTTAAGATCAAAACTGTGTCTATAAATGTTTAATACTAAAGATGTCCATTTATCCTGGAAAAAACATTTTTATTATTTTCTCACTGCAAATTAAAAAGAAAACATCTGTACTGATTAATAAATAATAAAAATGTCTTCTGCCCTTTACTGAACTCTGTACCCTGAAAAAAATCAGTGGTGTTTGCAAACTGCATTCCATCAGTTTCCCTCCATCCAAAATCATTATTTAAACAGTTAAATCCTCACCCTTGCCACCTGCGCAAGCTCACAGTGTAACATCTTTGATTACTCAGCCATGTCAATCACACCCTGACACCCCAAACAATCCACATTTCATATGCTGACAAAGGTAAATAAGAGTGATACTTTGTATACTTTTATTTACATGTTTCTGAAAACATTTTAGGTGAGAAATAGGCAACGCAGTAACATAATCTTGGTTCATATTTTTCAGCACTGCTTAGTGTTAACACTTGATCAGAGTTTGGTCTGAGTTTGAGAGAGAGAGAGAGAGAGAGAGAGAGAGAGAGAGAGAGAGAGAGAGAGAGACCGTCTCCATCTTGTTTTTTTTTTTTTGTCTTTTTGGAGTCAGACGTGACCATAAGTGCTTCTCAAAGTCAAGAATGCTTCCTTGTTAGGATGGGTCCTTCCAAGTCAGGTCCTACTGAGGTTAGCCAAGAGTCCTTCCTAGCATTTGGTCAACACATATTCAAACAGGCCAGCGAGTGCCCAGTTGTACGTGAAGAGGCCTTCATGCCCGCTGAGGACACACATATGCATCTTTGAAAATTCTCGGAGGTATGGACTCTGTCCTTTGTAGAATCCAAAGGATCTTTGACATTGGAGCAGTCTTTCAGCAGGATTTGATGAAGTACCCTCCTGGAAATTCAGCTGTTTAAGGATCCTTCCTTGACTTTGAGAAGCACTGCATATTTGGGCAAGAGGCTGGAGCTGTGTAGGAGCAAGTGTGGTAGATCAATGAACAAGCAGTACCTCATACAATATAGATCTTTAACTATCTTTAACTCAACGCCTACCCTTATTGAACTGTCTTGCTCTTTATATTACATCATTAAAGGCGATGGATTTACATTGTGTGTCAGTATTAGACACTGATGGCCACAGACCAAGCTACTTTGAAGCGCTATATATATATATATATATATCTGAGGTAGGGGCCCTGCCCTTTATAGATCTATATATAGCTATATATCTTAGCTGCACTCTTCTGGACAGAGACCTCAGATGTTGTACCTGGAATTTGCTGAAGCCACTCCCCCAGTTTGGGGGTCACAGCCCTGAGTGCTCCGATTACTACTGGCACCGTTGTTGCCTTTACAACTCACATCTTTTCTAGCTCTTCTTTCAGCCCTTGGTATTTTTTGAGCTTCTCGTGCTCCTTCTTCCTGATGTTACTGTCGTTTGGGATTGCTACATCTATCACCACTGCCTTCTTCTTTTGTTGGTCGATCAACACCATGTCCAGTTGGTTAGCCATCACTTGTTTGTCAGTCTGGATCTGGAAGTCCCACAGGATCTTATCTTCGTCATTCTCAACCATCTTAGGAGGTGTCTTCCATTCTGACCTTGGGACCCCCAGCGCATACTCAGTGCAGATGTTCCTCTGCACTATGCCAGCCACTTACTGCCTGCATTTTACACCCTGCTATTATGTGCTGAACTGTCTCAGGAGCATCTTTGCACAACCTGCACCTGGAGCCCCATCTGGTGTGGTAGACCCCCACGTCTTTTGATCTTGTACTAAGTGTTTGTTCTTGTGCTGCCATGATTAGTGCTTCTATGCTGTCTTTCAGTCCAGCTTCTTCCAGCCACTGGTGGGATCTCTTGATTTCGGATACTTCTTCAATCTTCGGTGGCACATGCTCTGCAGGCGCTTGTCCTTCCATGATGGTTTGTCCTCCTCTTCTGTATTCTCAGGTTTCTACTGCTTGAGGTATTCACTTAGCAGCTCATCTTTGGGCCATTCCTGGATCTTGGCTGTTTCGTCCTGGGCAGTGGGTCTGACACTGACACCCGTGTATTGTGAGACACTTCCTTGTCTTGATAGCAGTGGCCTCTATCTCCTCCTTTGGCCAGCTTACTATACCAGCAGGTTATCTGATGACTGGCAGGGCATAAGTGTTGATGGCTTGGACCTTGTTCTTCAGTCAACTTCTCAGGACCTGCCTTACTGTGTGTAGGTATTTGGCTGTGGCTGACTTTCTTGCGGCTTCCTCATGGCTCCTATTTGTCTGCGGGACCCCAAGTTATTTGTAGCTGTCCTAACATCTGCAGTGTTGCCCTCTGGTAGTTCAACCCCCTCGGTTCTGATCATCTTCCCTCTCTTTGACACCAGGAGGGGACTGATGGTTGCTCCACTTCGGAACCAGTTTCCATAGCCACTCTTTGTGATGAGTTGGCTGAAGGGGTTCAGGCCAATGCAGAACAGTGGTATTGTCACACATGTATACTGCCAGATACTAATATTTACTTTCAACATATTGTACCACAGTAGCCAGAACTATAATATTATTACTTTCAATAATGTTGTTGTAAGCTACTGTCATTACCGTCTGTCCTGCATCTCTCTCTCTCTCTCTCTCTCTCTCTCTCTCTCTCTCTCCCTCTCTCTTTCTCTCTCTCTCTCTCTTTCTGTCTCATTGTGTCATAGCCTACGGATTACTGTTAATTTATTATGCTGATCTGTTCTGTACGACATCTATTGCACGTCTGTCCGTCCTGGAAGAGGGATCCCTCCTCAGTTGCTCTTCCTGAGGTTTCTACCGTTTTTTTCCCCCGTTAAAGGTTTTTCTTGGGGGACAGTTTTTCCTTATCCGCTGTGAGGGTCCAAAGGACAGAGGGATGTTGTATGCTGTAAAGCCCTGTGAGGCAAATTGTGATTTGTGATATTGGGCTTTATAAATAAAACTGATTGATTGATTGATTGATTGATTGATTGATTGATTGATTGATTGATTGATGGTAGGGACAGTGCATCACCTTGGTATATGCAACACTTGATGGTAACTTGTGCAATTGGCTTTGAGTTGGCCAACATTCTCAGGGCTGTACCACAAAGCAAGAGTAGTAGGTTAGCAAGGTATGTTGAGTCTACAGTCAGAGTTTTCCATTTTACCAAGGTGGCTCTCTTTTAACTTGGCTAGATCGCCATGGTAACTTCTGCTGCAGACCTGACCTTGGTCAGGACCAGTTTTTGGTTCAAGTTTCAGCTTAAAATCAGCTAAAAAGCTCCTTTGAGCGTTGTTACTCTGTAATTAATGTGAATATTTCAGGGATAAAGACGCTCAGATGAAGGAATGTGGTATAAATGCACTTTTTCCAACCTGTCGAGCCATAATGTTACATAAATGCCACTAAACAACGGCGTGCAGTTACAGTAGTACCTACTGTATTTTTTTCTACACAGGAACCTACAGTATGTCAGTGATGCAGAAAATATGAGCAAAAAATTGTTTTGTTTTATTTAGCAAGGTTGTTCTTGGTCTTACTGAACTACTGAGTTTGTTTGTAGTGTTTTCTGGTCCATTTGCCAACACTGACTGTGAAAGGTATTGGTATTTGTCACAGATAATATTCAATCAGTAAATTCATGTCATTTTGATTTGTCAAAAAACTAAAGTGATTTACACGTATCCCTCATTATGGGACAGTGTCAGAACAAATGTAGATTTTTACTATAGCGTTTAAATCTGCTGCATCAAGTTAGCTGTAGAATTTGCATCTGTCATATTAGAAATACATGACAGATGTATAAATGATGTGTAAAAAATAGGCTGTATAAACTTGTGAATTCACACAATAAGTAATTTTCTGTCATTGTTCCTCTATTGCCTTAATTGAGGCAAAAGTGTTGCTTTCTACTGTTATACTTTTTAAATATTCTTACAAGGCGAAAATTAACATACACAGAGCCTGAAGAAGAACACCTGAGTTGATAACCACCTTTGTGGTAACTGTTATGTCTGACTGAGGCTTTTGGGTTTTTTGAGCTAGGTCAGGCAAAGAGAGCCTGGCTACATTGAACTGGCTTTGTGGTACAGCCCCGTGTTATGAGAAAGTTATGGGAATATTTTGTGTTCAACTTTATAATAGTATAATTTATTTATAAAGCACTTTGCTTGACAAGGTTTTAAAGTACTTTTCAGAAAAACAGCAGATTAAAACAAAACAGCAATAATATAACAATTAAATACAATGTAAAGAACACAGTGGTCATAAATTATATAAACACATAGAAATAGGGAAATACTCCATAGGGAATAGAGAAAAGTTAAAAGTTAAGTAGAATTAAAGGCCATGGAGGAATAATACAACCAAGCATCATATTAAATGTATAGCTCTTTTCCTATTTAAGGAAGTTTTAAGAATGAATTCAAAAGATTATGTTAATGATGCAGTGTGTCTGATCTTAATAGAGAATAATGAAGGAAAGGTATAGCAGCTGATCTGTCAGTGTAAAATAAAAACACATGAGCCATAGAAACAATCTCAGACTTCATTTTTATTGAAGCTCCACAGACAGACCCTGTTTACAGTTGATAGCATCAGATTCTGGCCTTATTCTGGTCTAACTGCTGCTGCTGATCACATTTCCAGGGGTCTATTTCGTTCACAATGGTCACACATTGGTGGTGGTGCTGTTGCAAAAACAAGAGACGGGTAAGACATAACCACACAACCATAGTGATCATTGTTATTCCCAATATAAAATACATAAGTGACATTCAAAAAGTAGAATGTATCTCTCAAACTGTCTACATACTGTATGTGTCTTTAATACAACTATTGGATGGATTGTGATGAAATGAGGCTTAGACAGTCATGTTCCCCTCAGCAAGAGGGGGCATTATAATAGGTCTAAAACTTTGGTGTATGACCAAATACTTGCGGAACTAATGGCATTCCAATCAGCCTCAGTTGTACTTTATGTTTACTGCTAATTAGATAATGTTAGCATGTTAACATTAGCTAAGGTCAAGTATAGTATCGGAGAGCTGCTTGCCTGACTTAAAGGGGAACTAATGTTTTTTTCAACCTGGGCCCTATTTTCCGATCTACTTTTGTCTAAATGAGTGATAGGATGTTCAATATATCAATATATCGTCCGCTCTTCAATTTCAATGAGCTCTGCGTCCACGTACGTCCGTGCTTGATTTTGACTAACTGGATCTGGGTGAGCCATTTGAATTTGATGACCGCCGTATTTATCTGAACACGGAGTACATGGATGTACACGGAGGCGGAGCTCATTGAAATTGAAGAGTGGACGAGGAGAGAGAGGGAGCAGCAACAGGCAGAGGAACATGTCCAAATCCAGCTAAAGGTACACACAGACGTTCATTTCTCCTTTCCGTTATGTTGTCAGATAATTATACCAACAATCCGAGCCTATCTGTGTGGAAAAAATGCACTTTTAGTGAACGTATTTTGATGTTGTTTGACGCTGTCTGAGTGCCCTATTATTTAATATAGCGCGTGCCCACGGGCTGCAGGCAGGTCAGCCCTAACTTCGTACTGGAGAAATGTCAAATATTGAACATCCTATCACTCATTTAGACAAAAGTAGATCTGAAAATAGGGCCCAGGTTGAAAAACAACATTAAGACTCTGTACTTATTTTGTTGTAAATGCTTTCCCTCCACTCACCTCTCTCCATCCAGCAGCCTCCTGTACTGGGCGATCTCCAGCTCCAGTCTGTTCTTGATGTCCAACAGGTCAGCATACATGCCTCTCTGGTTCTCCAGGTCGGATCTTAGCTGGGCCAGCTGCTCCTCCAGAGCCTCCACCTGCCTCTGGTAACCTGCCAGCATGTTGGCGTAGCGGGTCCTGGTCTCAGCGAGAGTCACTTCCAGAGCTCCTTTCTGTTCAGGAGGGAGAGGGGGGACAGTCAGGTCAGCTGTGTGTGTGTGTGTGTGTGTGTGTGTGTGTGTGTGTGTGTGTGTGTGTTGATTATTTTACATCAAAGAGTTATTTACACAAGAATTCTTGAATATTTAGTATGCCAAGGTCTGATGTCAACCTAAGCATTGATGCAAGACAGTTATTCACAAAACATGTCAAGACATGAAGCTTGAATAATTTGAAGTTTTGAAGTATTTGAAAAGTGAAGACTGCATGTTGAGACAACATTGACGATGCAACCTGATGCCAGCTCAACTTTCATTTTGGACATTGTTTTTTGCCCCTCTTCAAAAATTTGGGCTCAGAGTTATAAACCAGGGTCAAGATACCGTACTACACTAACACTCGACTAGCAGCTTAAGATCATCAAATCCTACCTTCACCCATCCCTCTTCTCACAGGCACCATAAAATAAAATAAACATAACCCCCATGCTTTCAGAGCTGGCACACTTCACTTTCAACTCACTTATCAAAATAATTGAAGATGACAGAAAAAGGTGGATAGATCTACCAATGTCATTAATCTGCATAATTTTGTGTTTTGTCACCTTGCTGATCTGAGCCTGCAGTTTAATCTCCAGAGTCTGAAGGGTTCGTCTGATTTCTCCAATCTCAGTCTTGGACGTCTGCAGGGTCT